GTATATATATATATATATATATATATATATATATATATGTGTGTGTGTCTGTGTGTGTGTGATTACCAGCCTCATAGTAATATGAGGAACGAAAATGAAAACTGAAAATTATTATAAAGATGGATCCCTCAGCAACGGATGTCAGAACTGGATTATTTAACTTAAATGACTGGTTATTTAACTGATTATTTAACTTAAATGACTTAAATGAACTTAAATGAATCTGTAAAATATGATGATTGAAAGAAGAAAAAAAATGCAAATGAACCCATTATCTTGCACAAGCAATAAACACTTATTGGTCGAATTGTATAGCAAATTTCTGTGTCACCGACTTGATTTTAATCCGACGAAACTCACAAGTATTTCAAAGTATTTCGATTATAAATTCAACTTATTGTCTAAATTACGTTACACAGAAGCGCCCAGTTCAGATTTTGTGGAGCGCAACTGCTAATAATGACCTTCGAATAATCGCACTTCATTGCACAGGTATGCGCAGAAATTACTTATATGAATAATTAAGTGAGATATGCATAAAATGAAGTTTTTGATAATATCAACATGATTAAATTACTCTCGTAAAGGTCAGCTTTGAAAAAATTTAATTAAAATGACTTTTGAAGAGAGCGCTTAGTGAAGTTTATAGTATAGATTTTCTCAAAATTTTCTGCTTAATTTTATTTTTATTGAAATAAAAATTTCAGGTTTTTACTGCGGATGAGAAGTTCTCTTATGAATGAAAAGTAACTGGCTAACATATTGAAGAAATGATGCAAAACATTTGAACTGTAAATTTCAAATCATTATATCTAGAACTGAACACATTTTTATTAATCAAAGTAGGAAGAGTAATAACCAGTATACTGGTGCCAAATAAAAGAGAGTTTTCTATTTCTGCAGCATATAAACTCGTATTTCAGAATTCAGCGAACTTTTGCTGGATGTGGAACTACTTCTTTTTTATGAAATGATAGTCAATTGGCTAGAGATCAGACGGATACTGCCGTTTATTCCGCACTTCTTAACTCTTCATTGCAAAATTCTTTAACTTCTGAAGCATCGGTTTTCGATTTTTGAAATGTTGTCTTAAAGGATCTTTTTTGCAGACCGAAAATAGCATAAAATATAATAGTTTTCTGTTTACCGTAACGATTTCCTGAATATATTTTTTATGTGAAACGATTTCGCCAAAAATCAAAAGTTGTAATGACAACTGACCATCAAACAATCTTGATTATTTCCGGTATATTCGGCTTTTGAAGTACATTAGAGCTCTTTTCGGCCAAATACTCAGATGATCCTCTATGGCAATCGTTGTATATAAATTATGTTTCGTCATTTATCATAGTCCAATTGAGAAATGTCCGTTGTTAGTATGAAAGATGAAATAGTTGAAAATGACGATTATTGATCAATTCATAAAACAGATCCATTTATTGAGTCTCTTATTTTCTCAATTTGCTTGAAATGTTGAATAATACGGGTGACATTGCAGTAACTTTTCGTATTAATATGAGATCAACCTTGATATTGCTCTCTGGGGATCATTGTCAATTTCGAGAGACAGGTCACTGCCTTTTTCATCCTCGAAGGTCTGGTTTCTTGCGCAAAACTTTTTGAATCGCAGTTGCACTATATTTTCATAAGTAGTTTTTGAGTCAAATAACCTAATGACATTACGATTTGCCATTACTATTATTTGTTTGCAGTTCATTATAAACATACTTAAATCTAAAAAATCAGTCAAATTTTCTCTTTGTCAAATATCATTTCCTTAATTTAAAATAAATATAGAAGCAATAGTAAAATGATAAATAATTAGCAGAAAGAATCATTATAACGATTTCTAAAATTGGCTATTTATTTATGGGACAAATTCTTGTTGGATTTGTTAATATAAAGGTAATTGCTTTTTCTGCATTGCTGAAATTTGCTGCTTTGATTAGAAAACATTAATATAAATGAACGGTCATGTTATACATCATTTTAATGTTCATTTCTTGCTTTATGTTCTCCAAAAATATTTATTACTTACTTATTGCTTCTGTTATATTCATTTTAAACTAAAGAAATAGTGCTAAAAGAAAAGAAAATTTAAGCGAATTTTTCAATTCAAATCTAACTGAGGGATGGCATGAGGTAATTTTTGAAATTTTATTCCTTAGGAATTACATACTCTTAGTGTTTTCTCGAGCATGAAATTCATAGTAATTTTAAGTCAGACAAAATTACAATCAACCAAAGCCAATTCTATCCAATTCTCACATAACTCTAAATTTGATCGTTTTATATTTTTCCAGATTTGAATTGATGCAGTCAAAAATATGAAATGTGTATAAAAATGACACAGAAACTTGTCGACCAATACAAATGCAGTTCAAAAGAGAAAAAAATAATAGTAAAGTAGCAGTCTGAGAAAAGACTTTAGCAATTCATAGTATCGGCAAATCAAAGTTCATTAATTTAGTATTAATAAGAAATTGTCACGAAACTTTACGTACGGATCGCATACTTCATGTAATGATGAATGTGATTTTGTTCTATTCTTTTATTTCAACTCCAAATCCTTACTAGCTCTTTAGTTTAAGTTCAAAATAAACGAACAAAGGAGTTGTTAGAAATTTAGAAAAGAGGGAACACAAATGAATACATGGGAGCTTTTTTATAGGAGCTATCGAAGCTATGGAAGCTTTTTTTAGTAAACTTTACTATTAATTTTATTCCAAAACACAAAAATTCAAATGTGGGAAATGAAAAATTTTTGGATTTTTAAGCGATATCCTGCGACATACCGGACACCTCTTTTTCTGTTTTCCTGTACTTTACACGAGCTCGTGTTTTCTGCATTAAATTTTACTTCCAAAATTTTGTGGTTCCACAGAAATATTTTATAGTATTGGTTACCAAGTCCACTAGAGAACCTAAGACATGATAAACTCCACTGTGACCAAGATTGATGGTACGCTAAGTAATTTAGTGACCACTGAAATCGCCTCGACTCAAAATTATGTTTTCATGGATTGGGTGGATGATTATGGAGTCCTACTTGGGGTCGAATAGCATT